ACAAGGTGATCCTGCTCCTCCTGAGGGGCATCCTGCTGCTTCCTGCTCATAGGCCTTCTTCAAAGAATATCCTCCATCTGAGCCTTGTTATTAGCTCTAAATTATTTTCAGCTTGTAGTAGTGGCTGAAAATACAATGGTAGGTGCTTACATGCCTGCCTGCTGTGGACCTGTATGCATTCCTCACAGTCTAGTGTCTACTTGAGTGTCACCAGAGGTAGGGGGCCGGTGGCACTTACCATCTGTTTTCTAATAAGTTAAACTGATGTCTCTTTTCTGTTTTTTTCCTCCAGCAATAACCAGAATACAACTCAAGGGATAGCCCCTGGATGTGACTAAGTTTAAAAAGGAAACTATCTGGAGGACAATGCAAAAAACATATTTATATTCGTTCACTGTGCTATGGTTCTTTTATTTACTACTTGGTGTCCTTTGTCGTGGACCCCAGGGACCATGCCATAACTTCATAATTGCATTTTAAGTGCAGTGAGAGATAAATAGTCCTCTGAGTGATATGTGAATGCTGGAATTTATCCTGCTGCCTGCCCCAGTGTGTGGGGAGATACATTTACATGAACTTACAAAATTAAAGATGTCCTATAAGGTAGTTTCAGACCAATATTTCTTCCTACGGTTTATTCTTTGTTTTGTATACTAAATATATGTATATGCTGTGTAATGATCACAATCTGGAAATGAATAAAATGTTATATTCTTGGTTTGTAAATTTGTTACTAGTTTGNCTATAAGGTTGATGCAACCCTTGTTGTTATGACATAAATTTGGTATTAATAATCACATTTAATGCCACATTTTTAAAGAAACAATAAGCACCTAGAAAAGCTAATCAATGGCTACAAGATTTTCATGCTTAAGAGTCAGCATAGTGTCCATTTGGGGAGTAATTATTTAATACTGGGTTATTGTTCTCTATTTTAGTACTTTTGATTTTTCAAAGGGAAGAACATTTATGAAATCATTCTATGGTCAGAGAGTCTGCTGGGTATGTCATGTCATAAGCAGCTGGTGTCATGGCAAGAAAAACTTGCTACTTCCAGGCCGTCTGCATCCAGTGTGTGACCTTTATCTGGTCTGTTTACTCTCCTCTGGGTCTCAGCCTTGGGAAACTGGGCTGTGGGGGTTTAGGTCCTTGTCTGAAGATCGTTTGCTTTTTCCAAGACGGAGGTAACATGACTCTTTTTCTCTATATTTCACAGGTGTTAGATGACAAGAATGTGCGTCGGCGGTTTCGGGCAAGTAACTACCAGAGCACCACCCGGGTCAAACCCTTCATCTGCACCATGCCCATGAGGCTGGATGATGGTTGGAACCAGATTCAGTTCAACTTATCAGACTTCACCCGGCGAGCATATGGCACAAATTACATTGAGACCCTAAGAGTGCAGGTGCCACTCCTCTTCCAGATGGAGCCCCAAATTGGGGGTGTGGGGAGTATGCTGTATTGATATTGGCTTGTGGCCCATGTGGCAGAACAGGGTGGGTTTCTGACTAAAGTTCCTAAGTTACTTTCCAGGGCTCTTTGGCTTCAAAAAGGTCCAGGAAATATTCAGGAGCCTGCTCAGATATAGTGGGCAAATACAGTGAGCAAAATCTCCCTCTTGCCAGAATCTACCCCTAAGCCCAGCTAAGCCAAAGGCAGGAAACTTTGACAGTATCATGAGTGAGGCTCTAGGAGAATCAGGAAAAGAAGAAAAACAATCAGGTTTAGCCTCTCAAAATTAGTCTTGGCCTCCACAGATCCATGCAAACTGTCGCATCCGACGGGTTTACTTCTCAGACAGACTCTACTCAGAAGATGAACTGCCGGCAGAGTTCAAACTGTATCTCCCAGTTCAGAACAAGGCAAAGGTAAGCTGCATTCCTCAGAGGAAGGCCAGACAGGGAGTTGGGGAGAACTGTGTTCCTGCAAAGTGCTCTAGTCTAAGAGGTCAGCTGCAGAGCATCTCTGTGTTGACACTTCGGAGTACCTT